GTCATGGGCATGGCCACGAGCGACGGTGATCGCGACGGCGCCAACTTTAACGCGACGCCGATCGTGGGCCATCTCCTCGTTCTTGTCGTACGCGCCTCCGTGCCCCGATTCGATCACGTTACGTTGTCGGTCCTAGAACGGGTTTCTGCAGACGCTGGCTGACACTCGACCGGCCGTGGCCAAGCAAGCGTGCAGTCTCCTCTCGTCGCTCGCATGGCTGTGTGGCCCGTCACTGCGGCCGCTCTCCGAGGCCCTCCTCCTATCTGTGTTTCACCTCGCGACAAAGAAGAAGCAGACCCAAGTCATCGCGCTCTCGGCGCGCCAGTGCTTGCACAGCCTCACCAAGGCGACGCGGTACCCCGTGGCACTGCTCGAGCGCGCGTACAAGCAGGCCAAAGACGGTATTGCCCTTCCTGCGTTCGGTCGTACATCACGGCGGACTAGACGGCGACAAGCGCATGCTCTGCGTCTCGCTCATCGTGCTCGTCCTGCGCTTCTGGCCCCCCTACGAAGTCCTCGAACGGGCCAACTACATGGCGATGCGGCGTGTGATCTTACAAAGCCTCTTTGACGACGACGCCGCCGTGCAATCGCAAGCCCGGCTCGCGCTCTGCCTCCTCTGTGAATACGGGTACGCTCTTTTGTACTCCTCTATCATGTCGAGGATAATACTGCATGCACGGCGCGGTAGGCAAGAAAACATCCGCTTCCTCCTCGAGCAACTACCGCACGAGGTCCTTGCGTGTATCGCCGACGAGTTTCCCGACTCGATGCTGGCGCAGCCGCCGGCGTGCCTCGAGTCGCCGTCCGAAGACGACGATGATGACGGCGATGATATCATTTTGTCCCCGATCCTCGAGCTCGACGACGAAGACCACGAGTCGGACGACAGTGTCTTGCGCCGGCGTAATCTCCGTGCGCGACCTGTGCTGCCATCGCGCGACATGTCGCTCGTGACACTGCGCAACGCTGCGAACCCGACCGAGCGGAATGTGGAGCTCTCGTTTGCGAGTCTTCCGGACCACCTCTCGGCGATCACCGAGGGCGACGAACCACCAAGCGCGTCGTCGACACCGCTCAAAGCCTCGCCGCGACCAAGTGATACATTGTCCGTCAACACACCGCTACCTGCGCGTAGCGTCCTCGACGTCAAGCCGCCATCGCCGTCGCTCATCCCGCGCCCGGTCTCCCGTCTCAAGTTCAAGGGACAAGGCCTACCATCGGCATCCTCACCGACACCAACCGCGACGCCAACCGCCGTGGAATCCACGCCGCCACAAACAACAGAGGCTCCGGCCACTGCACGACCGCTTACAGTGCGCGAGGTGACACTTGCTGCTCCGACACCTCGGCGGCAGATGACGCTCTCGATGTTGCCGGCTGTTGTGGCCTCTGAAGCACCCGGTCGGATGGCGTCACCGATACCCGAGGCCGTGACGCCCATTCGCGACCCGCGCGTCCCAACGAGCAAGCCATCGCTTCGACCACAACGAGCTACCATCTTTACGCCCTCGCCACCTTCGTCGGTCGCCAAGCCCAAGGAGATTGCCGCCGCTGTGGTCGAAGATGTGGCGCCAGTGGTACCGCCGACAGACAACGTACTACTGGACGAAGAACAACCTGCGTCGGCTCTCCTGCAAGAGCTTTGGGCGCCGCGACGACCGTCGTTCGACTCGGACGCGGACTTGAGCACGTCATTGGATGCTTCATCTCTGCACGCTGGAAACGCCCGCGAGGAGCTCTTTGGCCCAAGCTGGAGCGTGAGCACGCTGTCGCCCAAGGAGGCCAACTGGGCAGACGACTTTGACTGCAGCGTCCAGAGCATTGGCAGCAACCTCCTTCGCGACGACGACGACGACGAGGAGGCGCTGCGCATGCTCCACGCCGAATGGGTCCAGCCGACAGACAACGAGGTCCGCCCACCACCACCCCGGTCGCTCGTTGGCTCGCAGTCACTCGTGTCGCCAGTGCGCAGGACCGAGGAGGCGCCACACACGGTAGTTGCGCCACCGCCGATGCCACTTGCAACGCCACTTGCTGCGCCAGAGACCTCGCCCCCGCCAACTTCAACTGGTCCACAGCTCCAATCACCAATGGTCCATCCATCAGTGCCCAGTGTCACAGTTCTAGCATCACGACGGCTGCAGCCACTGCAAATCGCCACGGACGCGGCGTTGGCCATCGACTCGTCGGCGCATCACGAAGCCGAGTGGGCGATGGCGCCGCTGCCTCTTCGCACGATCAACAACTCGACGCCAGTGGTCACGCCAGTGGTCACCAAGAACCGCGCGTCGCCGACCGAGATTCCGCTGCGACAGCGGCGTCGTGTGGGGTCGGGCGCGTCATCCCGCAGTAGCGACGCGTCACTGCGTCAAGTACCATTGCCCACGACGAGCCAGCCATCGCAGCGTCCGGAACCGTTGACGCCACCAACGACCAACATGCGTCGTCCCCTCGGTGCAACACCTGGTCCAGTCTTCGAACCTCGCCACGACACAAAAGCGACGAAGCCAAAGACACCTACGACGTACCGTGTCCCTCATCATGGACGTCTCGTCGGGCGTGTACCACCGACGGCGGTGGCGCCACCACCTGCCGACAACTGGTCGACTTCGCCCGCGCCCATTCCAGCTGCTGCCGCGACGCCGACACTGCGCTCGCTGCTCATCGACGCCGCGCTCACGCTCATCTGGTGGCTCAGCTTTGCCTTTTGCGTACGTTTCCGGTTGCCTTTTGCAAAGAGGATTCATGCTGCGGGACTAGGTCTATGGACTCTTGGGTGCAATCGAGGCGTACAGTGCCCGCAAGGTCGCCGCGCTCTACTCGGAGCACTTGCGCCCAGCACTCGAATTGCAGTTTGAAGTGGCGGCGGCGTCCACGTCGTCCCAGCTGCAGCGGCTTGTGGCGTGGATCCAAGCGTGGCGCGCCACCATGGACGCGCAGGAGGCGTCAGTGCCGCTCCTGTCGCAGGTGGCCACTTGGACCACGACGTCCTTTGACGCGCTCATGGCGCAAATGCAAGCGACGGCGCGCGTGCAACTCGAGGGGTCGTCCAATATGTAGACATGCAACATACAACTATGTGGTCAATCTTGTCTGTGGAAGTGATGGCCTTGGAATGGACGTGTTTTGCGTCATATTCAAAAAGTACTTGAACGACATCATATCGGTAGAGAGCACTTGCCTCTTGGATTACTGGGTGCGCCTAATCGTGCTCCTCTGTCTTGAAGCGCTGGTGGCCAGGGCGAAGCTCAACGACGTGCCAGGTTCCATGTGGGTACAACTTGGACTACAAAGTATCAAGTTGATATATTGTCGCAAGTTCAAGACTGTCTAGTGTACAAAGGAAACGATTACACGTGCCGGGTCGCTATCCACGGATGCGCCAAGATAGTCTCGAGGGACGGGC